TTGTTCCCATCTTCTTGGTTAGTGATATCCTCCGTGTCTATGTACAAATCAACACTTGCCATTGGCTCGAGGTGGTAAATGATCCCAACATGTGAATCATTCTTTATCTTCATGGCGTGCCTTACACCGTGAATCACAAAGATTAACGAAATGTGGAGTTTCCTAGCTATTTCAAGATTCCAACCGAATGCCACACAAATCAAACCAAGCAACTCATCATATGACAACCTACTATCAATAATAAGAGTGTCGTCCGGCTGATTCTCAAATGTGTTCACTACACCATTCTCTATCACATACTTACTTCTATGAAACAAATTAAGTATGTATGGCCCATACGCAGACATTTTAACTGTTTATTAAGGGACCAAACAAAATCGTTAACTATATTAATCGTAATATCACCTAAAATAAAACAAAAAAAAATCCTCATTAAATTATCCATACAAATTATCCCTATCAATTATCCATACAAAGAAAATCCATCCAAATTCATTAAATTAACCTCTATCAATCCTTAAAACAACAACAATCCTCATTAAATTATCTCTAAACCCTATCAATTATCCATACAATAAAAATCCATTCAAATTCATTAAATTAACCTCTATCAATCCTTAAAACAACAACAATCCTAACTTATAAACTCAACAATATGATCTACATTACCATATTACATTCATAATCATCAAACCTAAGTCCTAACAATCTTCCACATTTTTAACAATATAAATACATAACAAAACAACTCAAAAACATTGATTTAATGACTAACTCGTTAGAATGACGATTCTTGTTGCATTTCACGGTAATGTGCGGCCAAAAACCTGAAGAACTCCGGCCACAACAGAAACTAACCCTCAAAAACTGAAAAACCCGATATGAAGGGAAGCTGCAACTTTTTCTTTATATACCACGTCTTTTGATTTGGCAAATCCAAGATAAACTATTCATGTGGGGCTCTCGGATTTCCCAAATCTGAATGCCCATCACCTTATTCGATCTGATTTAATACATCCAACAACCTTATCCACGATGACGGATTACCCCTGAACAAAAAGGATTCCCTCAGATTTGGCGAATCCAAGACTAAACCCTAAACCCTAGTTCTCGGATTTGCCAAATCCGAGTTTTCTGTTTTAATTTTTTGAATTCGTCTGCCATTGTTGTTGAATTTTTGAATATTAAATATAAAGACTTTCATATTACTCAAATCCAAGTTCACTATTCACCTTTTGACTCTATTTTCCTTATCTTTCGATATTTAAAAAAATATATAATATTTTATTATATTTAATAGTTTCAGATTTGCCAAATCCGAAAGTCGATTTAATTAAAGGCTTGGATTTCTCAAATCCGGGACAACTAGTTTTGTCCACAAAAACAAAAGTAAATTTTTTTTGTCTAATTAAAGGCTCGGGTTTATTCTTATTGAGGCAACAGTGATAAGGAAAAATAATGCATCCAAACGGAATCAGTAGCGAATTTTAAATGACGGATAATAGAATTTATAATTTTAAAAAAATAAACGAGTTGATTGGAGGGTAGGTTTAGTGTAAATTTTTTTTTAAAAAAAATTTAAAGGCATTTCTGTCTTTTCACACTAAGATTTGCTAATGCAGAGGGCAAATTGTCCTTTAACCGGCAGTCAAGGGGTTATTGTCCTTAAATGAAATATTAGGGGGTAATTTGTCTTTGGGACATAATTCGGGGGGGTTTTTGTCCTTTTCTCTTTTATTATATAGGTAGAAAATTTGCTCTTTACTACTGAGATTATTTCTAAAATATTGTGTGAAATTTTCATTCCCTATTTCCCTTTCCCTTAAGTTCTTGAATTTTATTTGATCTTTTTCTTTTGTTATAAGAAACTTTACTAAATTTAAAAGTTTTTAATTAAACATCATTCATTCACAGAGATTGATCATGCCTCGAGAATAAGCACAAATTAATGATTTAGTTAATTTATTAATGAAGCTTTGTTCTTGTTTCCGATCCAAACGTTGCAAGAATAAGTCCAGTATTGATGACTCACTCATTGAGTAGAGAATAACAGCGAATGATTTAGTTAATTAATTGTAAAGGATTTTCATATATACTTTCCATATATACGTTCCATCCATCAAACACATTGCTAGAACTTAGTAGTAATTAAGTAACCGTGTTTCCTTTTTTGGCATTCTTCTATTGAAATTTTATGAAATGGTAAAAAAAAATCATTTTATCAAACAATAACAATTTTAAGAAATTTCTATTGTGGAAACTGGGTCCTGCGAATTCTTGAAATACCATATACACAAATATACAGACCCCTACGTATATGTTTTAAAGCCAGAACGCGACTAAATGTGGCATTTATTCAAAGAAAAAGTGACCGCAAGAAAAAAGAAGCTAGCTTTTAGAAGTACCCTTAGTTTCCACATTGTATGAATTTACGTAATGTTTATACAGTTTAGGACACCAGACATTCAGAGGACAGATTAACATTTAACATATGATATGTTTATGATTCAATGCTCCCTCAGTCCCATAATTATTATCCAGTTTAAGTTTTTATTTTTAGTTCAATTTGTACTAAAAATGATAAACCAAACTGGACAATAACTATAGGACGGGAGAAATATATATGGAGTTTATACTACGACGAATAAATAAGAAATCAAGAGATTTTTTTCATCGAAATAAAACTAAAATTTAGACAATCGAATGTTTTAAAAATGAGATAATAAATTAGAGATGGAAGCATATTGGAGCTTTATACTTTAGGATCGGGAAGAATCAAAGAAGAAGTAAATGCTTAATTATGTTCCTCCTATTCCTATTTGTAATAGCATCTCCAACTATTACAGTGTAATTTACACTAAATTTAGTGTACAAATAGAATATTCTAATCATCTTTTTACACTAAAGTTCTTTACACTCCAACCTTGATGCACTAACATGTCTACCTATTAAATGTTTTAGTTTAAATTTTATTTTTGTAGTTAATTAAAATAATGTAATTTGCTGATAATTTTGTGAATTTGTTCCTTATAATCGCTTTTTATTTGAATGTAGATGTATCAAATTTTTTTACTTATTTTTCATACTCAATTTTAATAATAACTAAAAATTATTTTTTAAAAAATAAAAATTTATATTCAATATTGGTCTTATTTTGGAGATTTTAACAAAATATTTAATATGAGATAACTTTTATAACATAATTTGTTTTACAAGTTTAATTGCATATCAAATATATTTTTAGATCTAAGTAAAAAGATAGTGCATTAAAAATAGTGTAATGGACAAGTTACACCAAATTTGGTGTAATACTATTCATTGCACAAAACTAGTGTAGTGATTTAGAGCATCTCCAACCAAGACAACAAAACACTAAATTTGGTGTTTTGGTGTAAATTTTTCACTCCAACGAACACACTAAATCAGTACACTATTTTGGTGCAATGAATAGTGTTACACCAAATTTGGTGTAAATTGTCCATTACACTAGTTTTAGTGCACTATCATTTTACTTAGATTTAAAGATATTTTTGCTATGCAATTAAACTTGTAAAACAAATTATGTTATAAAAATTATATTATATTAAATATTTTGTTGAGATCTACAAAATAAGACCCATATTGAATATAAATTTTTAGTTTTTTTTAAAATAATTTTAAGTTATTATTAAAATTGAGTATGAAAAATAAGTAAAAAAATTTGATACTTCTACAATCAAATAAAAAGCGATTATAATGAACAAATTTCACAAAATTATCACCAAATTATATTTATTTAATTAACTACAAAAACAAAATTTAAACTAAAACATTTGCTAGGTAGACATTTTACTGCATCAAAGTTGGAGTGTAAAGAACTTTGGTGTAAAAAGATGCTTAGAATATTCCATTTGGGCACTAAATTTGGTGTAAATTATAGTGCAATGGTTGGAGATGCTCATAGTGTATTCGTTAGAGTGAAAACTTTACATCAAAACACCAAATTTAGTGTTTTGGTATCTTGGTTGAAAATGCTCAAAGACATAATTTTAGACTCAATTTAGTTTAAATTGGCTTATAAAAATGACGGGTAGAGGTTAGGAGAATAGGTGAAGCACAGTTACAGCAATTACATCTTTTCATTGCAAATCATCTTCATCAGTTTTCTAGAATTTATATCATCTCTATTCTTATAAAATAATCTCTTCCGAATTATATTCCAATATTTTGATTGGTGGGGAGGCTCTAAATGACATCAGCAATTTTAAAAAAGGGTAAAACAGACAATTAAAAAAACACAAATTTTTAAATAAACACAAATCTTAAAAAAGTAAAACCTGCCAGGGTTTTGATTATTTCCGGAAAAAACAGAAATTACAGCTTGAACATCATAACGACGTCGTTTACGTTATGATGGTTCCACCAGGGTTAAAATCCTAAGTTACTCTTTCTTCTTTTACTAGAGATGGGAGCTGCACAATGTGCAGCGGAACGGGAATTATAGCCCGGAAGTTTGGATGTTAAATTTTTTTGTTTGTTTTAGCTAATATTATTATAAATATGTTTTCGGGAATTGTAGTCCGAAAATAAATAGATTTTAACATTTGCCTACTTTTTTCGCTTCCTTTACAAAACTGAAAAAATGAAAAAATTCTCGCCGAAAAGTAATGGCCAAAAAAGTGAATGGAAAAAGCAAACAAACAAGTTAATTTGAAAATAAAAAAGAAATATTAATGTACATTAGTTTTGCCAAGTGATAAGAAGCTAAAATCATCAATATATACATACATAATATTGTAAATATCACACCAATCTAACTATTTATGAGCCTTTTCATTGATTGGCAAAAGAATCAGAGTTTTAGGTGCCGTAGTAGCTCTGTACATGCTATTAGTAAACAAAATGCATGTATATCTAAAACCTGAATTTTTATAGACAAAAGAGTCAAAGGCTCATGAATAGTAAGGATAATATATACAGTAACATACCAACCAGAGTGTTTAATGATAAGACGTTGATAATTAATCTTGCTTGATATGTTTTGCATACGATGGATTGTCAGTTGATTGAAGCATTCTTTTGGCAGGAATTGTTCTTGCTTCTACTTGTTTTGATGTGGTTGCCTCATCTTCTGGTGATGGAGTGTCTATTGACATTTTGCTGGCTGTGTCTGATGCCACACTTTCTTTTTCAGAGTCTGATCTGGCAGAAGATAAGTGAAGTATTGGCAGGGAAGCAATGATATTATATCGAGGATAAAGGGAATCCCTGACTCTTTTGTTGGTCCGCAGATAGAAGAATTGTTGGACGTCTTCGAATTTTTTATTTAGATCAGGTATGCTGATCCTGTTTTCTTGTATTGTTAGAAGTTAATATATGTACAAGATGAAAGGAAAAATAGAATGTTACTTTGTACTGAATACCGTTTGTTGAACTTGAATGATATTAGCTTTTGACATTTTCAACAATGTTTCAGCTTCATTTTCTTCAATTGTAGCATGAAGACAACCAGTGTTATCTGTCAGTTGGAGTTCAAATCTAAGGCTGCACATAAGATTTATAATGATCATGTTTTGTATACGTAAAAAAATAAATAAAGATGGACAATATAGCTGCAGGTTTAAAAGTCACAAAAAAGTTCTATTAACTTACACTGAATTTGGGTTTGGATAATTCGTGTTGCAGTACAAACAGGTGAATTCACTTGGCTCAGAGAGGCCACAAGTTTTTGAACAACCAGGACAGCTGAAGGCATAAAGACGCTGATCTAATTTGGCAATCTTTGCTCTAGCTTTTAGCCGAAATGATTTTAACTCCATTGATGACTGTAAATACATATTTGAAAATTGTCAGTTTGTTTCTTTTTATTTTACGGGAAAACTCAGTGTGTGTTAAAAGCTATAACATGATATTACCTGTTGAGTCAAATTTTTCACCTGGCTAATCGTTTGGATCTGAGAATCAGTTGGTGACTCTAAAATCCGACGTGGTTTTTCATTGATGTAGTCGGCAATGATGTCTTCGATGACATCTCTGTTTGAATCCCGCCTGAAATATAAAGGTTTTTTAACTAATTATTATCTTAATCCGAACTGATAAAATTCTCACCATGATTGTAGCTGCATGGTTTCAGGTATTGGTGGATTGAATAGGATCACACTACTTCCAGAAGTGGAAAGGGATAAACCTGTGACATTAACCTTGGATTATTACAATAGGCAATGATTATATGAGGTGAATTAAATGAAATGGAAATCAGTTCGTTTGATCTTACCATGAAAAGTACTAATTGATAGTCGCATAACCACAATGATAGGTCTTCTATGGATGTTATCTACTAAATAATGCCCTTGTCTCCACAAATTAATCCCACAAACTTAATACCATGGGGATACATCTATAAAGGCAGCAGTAGGAATAGTTAATCAATGCAATATGGTTAAATAGAATATAGTAAGGCAGTATTGTTTGTAAAAATTGTTTCTTACTCTTGATTCACAATGAGAAATTCTTGTACGTTCCTTGCAAGGCTCGAAATAAATCGAGTAGGATGAAAATGCACGACAGTACAAATTAAGTCTGAAAAATTCAAAAGTTTTGACTTAAATTTTTATAATGGGATTAATGCGTATAAATCATTAATATATTTAGGTAAAGAAAAATAACAAAAATCTTAGCTGATTTGGTTGTTGCTGGAACCGGTCAGTTCCGAACATTGTGCGAATGGAGCAAGTTTATAGATATGCTCAAGAGGTAATGCATGCTCTGTGCTTGCTTTTTTATGAAAGAGCTTCTATTCAGCACGATTTGGTATTCTCCATCTGCCAGGATTGCATAACTTCTGTTTGCTGGAATTATTTTTCCGTTCCCGAAGTGTAGTATGTGTCATATAAATGAATAATATCATTGAGTTTGTTGACATCATCGGTTTGGAAAACATTGCACTATATTTTGGTGTGCTGCAAATGAAAGTGTCATCTGTTATGTCATTCATTGGTCGAGATGATAAAGAAATTTTGGAGATAGTTTTATGATAGGTAGTTTAATGTTACCTCTTTATCGACGAAGACGTATCTTTGAATTGAGCCTCCTTTTCTGGTTCGACGGATTGGTGTCTTCTCAGCTACTATTATTTTGATATACCATTCAGTGGATTTGTTCTTTAGATCTGCCAATAGTATGCATTTTTCGTCTTCGGATCTGTAGAGGACAAGGGAAAGAAAAGGGATAAGAATGTAAGTTTTAGAAAATAATTTTGTAAAATGTAAAACGGAAATGATATTGTAGCTCTTTGTTTGTCTATAGCATTGATCTATGACTGAAATTTTTTTATCTATATTGAAATTTTTTCTGTGTGTAGATGAAAGTGTACCTTTTTTATCTAAGCTGTCCGAACTTGACATTCCAAAAGTGTACCCCTTTGATCGTAAGCTCTCCGCAACAAATCTGGTTTGTTTGAAGAAGAATCAAAGCAGGAAGCTAAAAGTAAGGACAGAGTTATTATATTCAATTGGTGAATTTGGAAGAGGAGACAGAGGATAGTGTTTTTATAACCGAGGGTATTGTTGAAGAAAGAACAAAATGATAGAATTTTTTTAGTATAAAAGGAAACAACCAGATTGCCAATGGGAAAAAATGAAAGATTGTGAGTTAGTGCATGCATTTCCACGTGTTGCAACTGAATCATGCACCACATTGCTGCAGTAAGTAATTGTAGGGTATCCATTTCGGATAACACCGCAACAAATATACTGATTTGACATCGAAGTATGTATTTATCCAAATATACTGATTTTTACATTGAAAGCATGTACTTTAAATATGTATCTATCCAAATAAGAAAGCTTATAAACTACATTAGCGGATAGAAGCAAACTCAGTTTTGGTACAAACAAATAATCGAATCGATAGCACACAAACACAAAGACTAATGTGATGTCTTTATTATATTCTCTGAGGAAAAAATTCAAGCACGTTATGTGCAAACTCAGGATTCACATTCCTATTTTCTTCACATACAAAAGCTCAGAACGTCAATTTGACAGAGCCTTAGCATAACAGGAATGTGAAGAAAACAACGGATTTGTAGAAATAACACAGCAATCCACCAAAAAAAAATTCACTTTAGCCGAATTATACAAATCTCTAAACATCCAATGGGCCTCAATTGCACTAGATAAGCCAGAAATAAGACAAACACATATCTTACCTAATGGAAAAAAGAGACTTCAATTTTGGGAGGACAGCCTCCTGTTCTGTGCAAGAAGAAGAAGGATAATTTTTGCGTCGAGAAACCGAAGGCGGAGGAATTTGCTCATCATTTTCGATTTTGAGAGAAGCAATTTTGTGCGAGAAGCAAACACAAACAAAAAAAGAAGAAGAGCAGAATAGTTTTGTTTCAAAAGAAAAGATGAGAAACGAATTTCTTCACCATGAAAGAAGAGAAGAGAACCATCGGTGGAACATCCGCCAAAACACAAGAAGAGAAGCGAAGGGGTCACCGGGTTCAGCTTGACCGGTTTTTTGGTACAAGAAAACTAAGTACATAATTCATTCTCGATTATATCAGTACGTTCAAGTAGAAGAAAAAGACTCCACTCCATGTTAAGTGCTGTTTTCAGGATATATTTCCATACAGGGTGAGATAAAAGCCTTTTCAGCAATTCTTCTACTTCTCTTTCAAACATGGAATTATAAGTGCACTGACCACAATGAATACAAGTACACTGGATAGGAGTGGGTATCTTTTTTTTTTTTACTTGTATGTAACAATAGTTTGTGAGAAGAGGAAGTTCTGATTTTTGATGAGAGAGTGTAGAAGTGATGAAATTATGTTTATAATAGAGAAGAAGAGTAAGAAATTGGTAGTATTTAATGTACCAAAAACGGAAACGTGTTAACATAAGAAATATCAGGGGTGAGTAGATAGCAATATTTCATATATCAAGAAGGAAGACGTGTTAGTATAGGAAATAAAGTTGTAATAAGGGTGTGCATGTTGGACATTTTGTGTAGGTACGTGTTAGATTAGGATTTATTCGACGGTTAGCAAAATAAAAATTTCGGTATTTACATTGCAAATAAAGAATTTCAACCCATGTGTAGCTAAATAAACAAAGTATTCCACATAAATGAACTTAAAAACATGTAAAGATTACCTTGGAAGCAGTATGAAAACTGAAACTGGTTGGAACCTCTTTACATCTCAAGTCACCACCAATTGTTTTTGAACATTCAATCACTTGAGTTTTCTGATTTTTGCTCCTGATATATGGAAAAAGTGAAATAGAGTCAGATCAGTTTAATGTAATATTTTGAATGTCTGTTTCTGGAATTTAAACATCTGCATAAACAGTTTTAGAATTACAAAAATTATAAATAATTAATGTGTTCTACCTGAAATTTTCAGCTAAGAGACATGCATTTTTGTTCAAGTCATGACCTTCAATCACCACCAGCCCATCCAGATTTGAAATCAAGTGATTGAATCACAACCGGTTTTTTATGTCATCTACACCAAAACCTGAATTTCAACTAATGGTTGTCACGATGAACTTTAGTAAAAAAAACAGAGTTAAAGAGATGCAAACAATCCAAAAAGTGAGTAACCCAATTCAGTTGTACCATTTTGTTTCTTTTTAAATCAATTTTATGAAGTGAAAACTGCTAGGGAAAAGTAAACATTCCAATCAAATGGAATGAATTGAACCAAATTAAATGGAAGCAAAACTTAAAATATTGAAATCCTATCTTGTGATAGATTCAATTCATTCCAACTCATAACATGACAAGGAGGCTGTAGTTGATTTCCTTTGATTTTTAATGGAAACTACTTGATCCCTCATGCAAACAACTGGATTTTAGTTACTACATTGTTAAAAATTCTCAAAAATCAAGGAACAAAACATTCTAATACAAACTTTCAGCGTCACTATTCTTATGCAGGAGATAAACTAAACAGGAAGTATTCAAACAATGAATCACTTGATAAACACGGTCAGTAACTGATGATGAGAACATGATTTAAAAGAAAGAAGAGAAAAAAGAACAGACAAAATGCACGCTTGTTCAATAGTTAAAAGAGGAAAAGAAGAAAAAAGAATGGACCTGTCACACCTACAATTGCCAGCAAAGCACTTGCAGAACTTCCTCCAGATGTCACACCTACAGAATGGCCATTCACAAAGGTATCCAGGAGACTGAATAGCCTCAGCTTGTGAGCCTGAAAATTTAACATTGTTCAGCTTCCTTCAGGGATGTCCCAAGAACATTCTCTCCAATAGTTTTTATACCCGGGTCAGCCAAAAAGGCCTAGAATTTTCAAAACTTCTTTTAAAGCTACTTCCTTTATTAATTTCCACAAGTGGGTTTTTCAGAGAAGGCAGCCTAGAAACAACATGTTCCTTGACAAATTGAGTTTCTTAAAGAATTTTACTATCACCATCAGGTGCAGCAGTTTCAGACCCATCTTCACTACTCAAGAACCCATCAGACGCAATCCCAGAATCACTCTCATTGCTACTAAATGAATCATATTCAAAATCAGAATCATCAATAGTCAAAGGAGCTCTTATACCTGAAAGAGTTGCTGAGGTGGAAGAAACAGAAAGGACCTTCGGACTTGTTGGAGGAGCTGCCTCTGTGGCAGAAACAGGAACACCATGAAGCTTTGAGCCCATCAACATGAAACCCTTGTCTTTCCTTTTGGGTTTTAAACTTTTGCCAAATTTCTTCACCAAGAAACAAGGAAATAATGATTAAACATGCATTAGGTTTCAAATTTTCAAAATAAAGGGAGAATCTTTGGAAAAGATGGTTGGGGGGTGATGGTTTTTTTTTGTTAATACATAGGGTTTCTTTTTGGGTTTTTCTTCACCAAAGGTTTTTTTTCATATTAAACCCTCCGTCGACGAAATTGAGGAGAAAGAAATTAAGAAGGGTGAGTAATTGAGTGGAGAATTGGAAAGATGAGAATTGAGTAAGATTAACTCGCAATTTTGATGAATTCGATACACGTATTGAAAAAGAGTGGTATCAATGAAATAAAAATTTTTGGTTTTGGTATTTATGCAGTTGACTGTATGAAATGAAAGTGAAATAAAATTTATAGAAGAAAGATATCATTAATTTCTGAATATTTAAATTAAGCAAGGACAAACAAAAGGGAAGATCTCTCACACCTTAAACAAAATTTACAGATAATCAAATTCACAGATAAATTGCATTTTTGCTGTATAAGAATAACGGATATAATAGAACTGACCTGGCTTTTGTGGGGATTTGAATATTTACGACAAAGTGATGATCACCTCGTACCGAAGATGTATTTATGTCTGGCACTCCACAGTATTTTGGTATCCAGCTTCCCACCGGAGAAATTCAGTGACATACACCAACATCAATACGGTATTTACAAGCATTGAATCAGCAATTCTGCCTTGGATTTCATACTGCATGTTCGGGTGGAACACAAACATTAAAAGAAAAAGAAATAAAAAGGGCTTCCAGGGCTCAATAATAATTGTAGTATTCTGATGGAAATTGCAATTAAAAGATACCTGTTTAATGTAATATATCAAAGCAAGAACTGCCAAGGACATCATCCTGAATTTGCAGTTAGTAAAGACTTTTATGTCAGCATTCTCACCAATTCTGGGGTACAATTCCATTTCCTGCAAAAATTAATACATTGAATGAGATTGCTCAATACATATCACGTCATTTATTTCCTAAAATGCATCATAACCATAAGAAAAAAAAAATAGGTGGAAAAACTGAAAAATAAATGGTTGCCATGCTACACAACAACGAAAAGAAAGAGATGTCAGAAGGGTAAAATAAATTTTACGTGAGTATTACAACAGTAAAGGCCCAATAATTGTTACCCATAAAAATCAATTATAATGTTTCTAAATGATCTAGAATCAGTGGAAGATGGAGCAATATTTACTCTTAAATACATAATCAGAAGGGTTTAGAGCACTGAAATTATACTATATGTAATAGAAAATCTAATGACTGGATCAATCACTTTTATGTGCAAGAGCAGACAAAACACTAAGCTACCAAAAATCAAAGCCGAAAATATTTTTTCCAGATGATCATACACAAGCACAGAATTGAATATCTCAAACCTGAAAATGAGCACAAAGGTAAGAAAACAGGATCATCGGTTAATTTTAATACTTGGACAATAAAAAAGATGGGCATGACAAAGATTACAATCATATCATTCAGATACAACAGGAAAAAAGAAATCCAACAAACGAGTTTTCAAGATCACATTTTTATATAACTGAAAATAATAATAATAACAACAAGCAAGCGTAATAACAATAAGCAAGCGTCATAATTTCCTAAGGAACCATGATAGATAGACCTTCAGGGTATGAACTAAGAAAGCCTGAGCGCTAAAAGTCCAAACGCATTTTAAAGATAAATAATGAGAATCAAAAAGAGATTCCAATAACAAGGAAAAACTAACCAAATTGTAAATAAATTTTACAGGTAATAAACAATGAGAAGCAAGAAGAGATCAAAGCTGAGACAAATGAAGTACTATTGCTAGAGCAGCCAATCAAAACTTTTTTGACATTTACATCCCAAAAATATAATACGGGTATATTAAAACTAAAGAATATATTACACTACTAACTATGAAAACAAAAAGAAAAGAAAAAGAAAAATGCATGCATTAAAAAACAAAAAAATCTAATACTTTCACTAAAAAAGAAATAACATAAGAAAGGTGTTTTATTAACTTTGTAAACAGACCTATTACCAGTTGGAAAAATGGGGCTTTTAACAGTTTTGTCAGCAAGAAAGAGCTGTAATATAACCTCGAAAGTAGCATAAACAGCTATGATCTTTCAAGCAATAAGACTCGTAGGTTTGAACCAAATTAGAAGGAGACCCTGGATACCATTGTTCTTCAAGTTATTGAAGGTCTACAAGACAGATTTATCAACGTGTACCACGGTGTACCATCTGAAAAAAATAGAAGGATTAAAATTAATAAAGATTAAATTTTTTTAACTGATTTGGTTTGTTCTTGAAAGGTTGATCTGAAAATGAGAGGAAAGAAAGGACACGTATAGGTGATCAATGGGGAGTGCAATTCTAGGATTTCTATCAAGTAATTCACAAAAACTGATACCACTAACCAGCAACAATGTTTTTGTCTGGTATTTAGATGAATATATGTGAATAATTAAACAAGTTTTCTATATTCCAATCACATGCTCAATGTAAGGTCCATAAATATTTATCTTGACAACAGTGCCAAGGACAACCTTGATATAATCGGTTTTGATTTTTGGGTATAAATTAAGAATTTCTTTTTCGATTACGTTTGGTAAGCACCCCTACATTTCTAATGCCAGTATGCAATTATTTTACCTTTCTATCAAGAAGCATTTTTATAAACTGCTCAGCAGTATATATCTAATTTAGAATATTGAACAACAACACTAAACTGGCAAGTTTTTATTGTTCACCAAGATGAATACAACAAAAATCTTCATATTTCATAAAAGGTTCCGAATTATCCCTGTTATGCAAGTCTAATACCACTTTCTATCAACCTTTAGTCATCTAAAATGCCAAATAATGTCTAATTCCTGATTTTCCAAAAAATCAAACTTTTTCCTTCAAGCAGAAACATATAAATAGTAAAAATTAAGGAATAATAAGAACAGAGAAGTAACCGCAGATGGTAAAAATTATGTATTTTACCTTCTAGCAAGACCATTGGTTATGATAACCAAATGGTAAGGCTACACTTTAACCTTAGCAGTGGTTGTATCAAAGAAATTGTCACCTCCATTATCAGATTCCATTTTTATTCTATGTACTTTCTTTGGACTATCAGGAATACAATTCCTATTTAATTTCTTCCACAATTCCATTCCATCAATCTCATAATCTAACTCAATCAGCCTAAAGAACCTTTTCTTTTCTTGGGTTTTAAATGAAATCCTAAATTAAAACACACAACAGTACCACCAATACAAATTTTAAGATTCAATGAAGAAAATGGAAAGTGACAGATTGAAAAAAATGCAATACCAGATGAATAACTAAGTTTCTCTATTCAAATGATTTTTTACAGTACCTTTATTTACCTGCTATTGTCTTCATATAGCTCCATAATGGAAACATATATTTTACGTAATAGATATATAATTAAATAAGAAGCTATGTTTAATCAAGAAAAAATCAAAAGATTAATGAGATAAAGATTGAACTTTAGAGAAATGACGTATAGGTAAGAGTTACTCTTCATGATATATGCAGTAATTAGTATAATATAAATACAGTAAATATTTAGTTATTTAGGTTATTATAATTGAGAATACAACTCCGATTTTATACCAGCCGCCGACAATACTTCATCATAAACAACATTTTTTGTATATTCAGTATTTTGTATCAATGGTGTAACTGGTCTGATAAGTACTTTTAGTTAATCAATTGTTTTAGCTCTTGATAATGCAACATAAAATTGACCATGTGAAAAAACTGGTTCTTTCAAATAAATACCAATAAAATCTAGAGTTTGATCTTGAGCTTTATTAATTGTCATTGCAAAACATAATCTTATAGGAAATTGTTTTCTTTTAAATGGGATAGATGAAGGAATACCCTCTAGTGCCTCTAATGTTATTCGTGGAATAAAAACGGGTTTTCCTTTATGCGGACCAACTGAAAATTCTGCATAAATAATATTTCGATTAAATTCTTTACAAATAAGGCGAGTACCATTACAAAGTCCTTCGGCTGGGTTTATTTTTCTAAGAAGTATTATCGGTGCATTTTTTTTCAATATTAATTTTTGAGGAGGAAAACCTTTTGGTGTCAATGAATGAAAAATTTCATCTTGGTTTGGTAATTTCGAAAAATTTACACTTTCATCAAAACTTAGGTACATAGTAGGTTCTCCTGGAAATTTGTCAATTAAAACATTATTAATTTCCTCAACAAATTCATTTCTCGTAGTAAGTATAGCCCGTTTTACAAAAAATAAGTTATCAGAGATAATATTAATATTTGGAAATACCGCATCTATCAATGCATATAATGATGTAATATCATCCTGAAAATAAATATTAATCTTTGATGGAATTTTAATTTCTCCTTTTTCATTCAATTTTTCAATACCATTTCCGATTTGTAGCAATATTGTGAAAATAAAGGATCATGTAATGCACGCATATTAAGAGAGAGTTTTAGTTTTTCAAATTGATTCCATAAAGGTGACATAACAATAGAAGCATCAATCATATCATCCATTGTACCTTTAAGAATAACTGGTAATGTCTGACGAAAATCACCACAAAAAACAATGATTTTACCACCAAATATTTTGTTTGGATTAATTATATCTCTTAGCATTTCATCGAATTTTTCTATTAATGTACGTTTTGCCATTGTGGCTTCATCCCAGATAATCAATTTTGTCATTCTTAATAAGTAAGCTAATGTGCTTTGTTTACTTACCCTACAAGATTTAGAATCACTAATATCTAACGGTATGTCAAATCTTGAATGTGATGTACTGCCGCCTGGAAGTAAAGATGCTGCCACACCTGAAGTAGCTGTAGCAAGTGCAATCTGTTTATTAGATCTTATAGTTGCTAAAAGTGCTTTGTATAGAAAAGTTTTCCCTGTACCTCCAGGACCATCTACAAAAAAAACTTTAGGTATATTATTATTTACATGATACATAATACAATCATAAGCAGTCCTCTGCTCATTATTTAATTGTGTAATAGCTAAAATATCCTCATCTGGTACTATTACATCCAATTCAGCACGTAATTCCTTTGCTAGGTCATCTTTGAAGTTTCTTTGTGAATTATTAGTTAAAAAAGAATAATTTTGAGGCTTTTTAGTCATTAAATAAAGATAGTAAGTTATAATATTTGCAAGTTTTTGTGTCACTTCATTATTATCAACGGATACATTTTGATTAAAATCTTCTGAAAGCATATCTTTGTATTTTAACCATAGTTCTTGAGGATTTTTAGGATTGCAAAACACAAGTACAGTAGCGAACAATTGTCTAAGAGCAGTAGGCATTAAGTAAGCCACACCTTCTTGAAGACATGTCTTGCTAGTACTATCTTCTTCCATTAATCCCAATGCAAAAACGGCTTCTCTATATGTATCAAAAGCGTTTCCATTAACTGTTCTTAAATATTTAAAAGAAGTCGGACCTCTAATATATTTTAATAACAACCTTAAATAGAATCTTTCACCTTCAAAAGGGTGACAGGGTAAAATGCGGCCAATTACATCACCTTGTTTACGTTTATGCCACTGTTTTGATTTTTTATCCCAAACAAAGTATTCAGGAAATTCAACATAGAGGCATTTTTTATGTATGGCATAATTATCATGTCTATTCATGAAAAAAAAATTGGTTTAATTTGGTTGCTTTTAATGTCGGGTTATTAACAATATCAGTAAGTGATTGATGTGTAGGAAATGTTACAGATTGTTCATTTTCTAAATGAACTGGAAGCGGTATGATAGAAGGATACGTATGATTAAGTTCAAATTCGAAAATCCGCCAAACTGCTTCTGGAGCAGAAATCCATCTAGCTTGAACAAAATTAGCAATCTCATCAACAATCGTTTCTTTATTACTATATTCATTTTCGTTTGG